TTTCCGATCAATCGACCATGTATCAGCAAGCGCTTTTACAAAAAAATTCACAGTCGAACGAACGATTCATGAAGCTTATGTGGAAGCAATCAGGCGAGCCGAGAGATTTATATACATAGAGAATCAATATTTCATTGGAGGGTGTCATTTGTGGGAGGAAGACCAGCACAGTGGTTGCAGAAACTTGATCCCCGTCGAGATTGCCCTGAAAATTGCTAGCAAAATCAAAGCAAAGGAAAGGTTTGCAGTGTATGTTTTGATACCAATGTGGCCAGAAGGAGTACCAGAGAGTGAACCAGTTCAAGACATATTGCATTGGACTAGGGAGACAATGAAGATGATGTACAGATTTATAGGAGAAGCGTTACAAGAAAGCGGTGAGCCTGGCCATCCAAGAGATTATTTGAACTTTTTCTGTCTTGCTAACAGAGAAGAAGAGGGAAAAGAGGAGTTTATTCCTCCATATTCTCCTCATCCTGAAACTCAGTACTGGAATGCTCAGAAACATAGGAGGTTCATGGTTTATGTCCATTCTAAGCTCATGATAGGTATGATCACAGTTCTTCACTGACCACATTGATTACTAGGGGTCTTAATTGAATCGAGTATGTTAGGTTTGAGTTTGCTCAGATTCAAGTCCGATGTTTTTGGCCTAACTCAAGCTCTAAACGAGCTTCACTGTTGAGCTTAGATCAAACTTGACTCGGCAAAAGCTTGGAAATAATTGAGCCAAGCTAAAACCGGGTTTAGGTTTAAAAATATCCATAAATTAAACCATATAACTTAATAATCAATCTTAAAATACAGACATGTGAAATCATCCATCAAATCAAATACTAAAAGTTCCCAAAAATCATATTTATCTTTTAGATAAGGGTTGTTTGATGATAAAATTAGAATTATTTATAAACATGAATCTATTAATCCAGTCTACTAGAATCGAATCAAACATTGTTTGGATTCTGCTTATTTGCATAATGAGATTAAGGATTTGATTAGATTTAATACATTTTTGCAATTTGAACAAACTAACCCAAACAGAGCCCGAGTAAATTGAATAGTTTAAGTGATTACTCATCTAAAATTCAATCTGAGGACTAGTTCTAAGGCCATACCTTTGAAAATCCTTATTCGAAATTGTCTTTTGTTCTTCAGTGGACGACTTATACATGTTGATCGGATCGGCCAACGTGAACCAGCGATCTATGGACGGGCAGCGAGACACGGAAATTGCGATAGGATGCTACCAGTTAAACAATGATGAACACAAAATCAGAAATGGTGATGTTCATTCGTACCGTATGTCACTGTGGTATGAGCACACCGGAAGAGCCGAGGAATTGTTCCGAGAGCCTCAGAGTATGGAATGTGTGCAGAGAGTTCGATCAATCGGAGATCAGATGTGGAGAATTTACGCCGGAGATGAAGTAGTAGACATGGAAGGTGTTCTTCTGGTCAATTATCCGGTGAGTGTGACGGAAGACGGTGGTGTTGAGGATGTTGTGAATGGTGGCGGTCACTTTCCCGACACGAAAACGCCGGTAAAGGGGAAGAGGTCAAAAATTCTACCGCCTGCATTCACCACATAAGCACAAAGTGGAGTGTTATCGTCTCCATTTGCTTTCAAGTTCAGCTACACTAATTTATTAATTTAAGTGGAATTTATTGTATTACGTGTGTTCCACATAAATAATTAATGTATACAAAAATTAATAAAATATATTTGATATATTTATTTGAATTAAATATCATTTCAAATTTATCGAACTTAATTTTTTATTATTCATATTATATTATACAATTATGAAAATTTTGTATGCTCTCAAATTTTTTTGTTATAATTAAAAATAAATATACATATAAAAAAAAATAATTAAAGTTTTATCTTTTTAGAATTTTGTGATTGAGATTTTTTAATGATATTTAAGAAATTAAATTTTTTTATATTCATTTGATTAGAATTTCACTTATAATTCTTTGAATAAAATAATATAAAATTAATTATCAATATACTAATCATATTGGTATTAATTAGGAATTAATTATGTTAATTGGAATAAAATTTAATATGCTACTATATAATATATATTATTAAGCATACTAAAACTGTAAAAAAAATTTATTTTTACTAAAAAATATACTACAATATCAATTTTTACATAAAATTTTAGTACAACTTAAAAAATTTATTGTTACTAAAGAATTATACTAATGCAATATAAATTAATATTATATATATATATATATATACACAATTATTTTTTGTCTTAAAAAATTAAAAAGTTAAACTTTTCGATGAAAAAGTATATATATATATATATATATATGCAGACATAATGTTATCTCTTCATATGAAATAAGTAATATTAGATTGATGAAATTTTTGAAGAATTTTTTAACATTTTATTGAAAATATACTAATGCTTATTTTTTTAAGGATAATATAATCAATCGAAANTAATATTAGATTGATGAAATTTTTGAAGAATTTTTTAACATTTTATTGAAAATATACTAATGCTTATTTTTTTAAGGATAATATAATCAATCGAAACATTTTATAGAAACTAATTAAATAATTAAAAAAAATATTATAAATAATTTAGAGACTTAAAGGCATAAAGACATGATGGTAATTTAAATATTAAATTACGAAAAGATAGAATAATTTTTGTAATCCTTTATAAAGATAAAATAAAGATTCAAAAAATTTTCATGTTAAGGGTAAAATACAGATATAGATATAAATATAGATTAGTGTCCACATCCCGTGTAATGCATATAATTTATAATCTCACTTTACAATCATCTTTACCATCAAATCTTCCCTAACCCTAATGTTTTTGAATAATTGCNATATAGATTAGTGTCCACATCCCGTGTAATGCATATAATTTATAATCTCACTTTACAATCATCTTTACCATCAAATCTTCCCTAACCCTAATGTTTTTGAATAATTGCCTATTAGTGTGTTAGAATAATATTTTTTAAAATTTAAAATAGTTAAAAACAATGATTGAAAATTTAAATTTAAAATAATTTTAAAAAATGTTGAGAGTATTACAAAGCACACATGAAATAATTTGATTAAAATGAGATAATTAAATATTTTAAAATTCTAATAATTACATATTTAGGGAGGAAAGTCATTTCAATTGCCACCTCCTATCTGGTACAAAGTCATTTCAGTTGCCATTTGTTAATCATGATCAGCTGAGTTACATTTGCCACTTTATGTTTGGCATTGGAAGACTATCTTTCTCATCTAGTGAGTGGAACATGAAATTCCGAACAATTATTTGAGCGACGTTATTGGTATTTAAAAAATTAATATAATTTATTAATTTAATAATGTATCAAGTAATGGAGTCCCGATCAAACCAAAGTGTTTGTAAACAACTTAGATGAAAACTAGTTTATATTCATTCATTTGTAAAATAAATAAAACTAAGATTCTTTAATCAGCTGAACAAACACGCACGCACACACNTTCATTCATTTGTAAAATAAATAAAACTAAGATTCTTTAATCAGCTGAACAAACACGCACGCACACACACACAAGTCAACCTTGATCTCTAACACAAATTGTGAACTTGATGGTGTGAAAAATAAGGAGGGGGATAAAAGAATTTGAGTGTTGAATAGTGATAGGAGTAAAAACACAGGAGTTAACANAAATTGTGAACTTGATGGTGTGAAAAATAAGGAGGGGGATAAAAGAATTTGAGTGTTGAATAGTGATAGGAGTAAAAACACAGGAGTTAACAATCGCAAAGACAAATAAAACAAAAAATGATATGAGTGATTCACCAAACTGAATAATTAGACTAGTCTAGTGTCAATGGAGCCTCTTTCTCCTACGTCTATTCCTAATGCCTAATGGAAAAGAAGGAGAGTGTTGACGGAGAAGAAAGAGTGTTTACAAAAGATTTGATCCCTTTCTTGTAGGACATTTTATTCTATTTATATTAGATTAAGTTTTTTATCCTTATTCAAGATTACATGGTCCCCTCAATCCATTGAAATTATCTAGAAATATGTGTTTCTTAGAGACAAATCATATTCATAAGACACGTGATTTTCTAAAAGCGGTGATAGAACATTCCGAAGTACCTTGTTGCCCAAAATAGTATGGTTGTATGGGCTTCCTTACCTTCTCCCCTTCTTATAGTTATGGAATCTAAGCTAACTTGACTATGACCGAGCTACTTGGATGTTGCTTAGTGACTTGGGAANGTTATGGAATCTAAGCTAACTTGACTATGACCGAGCTACTTGGATGTTGCTTAGTGACTTGGGAACTGGCTTATTTATGGAGGACAACTTGGACCAGGTCCGGTCGAAATTAGCCAAACTCCAAACTTGACCATAAGTTCAAACTCAACTTGTTTAATTAGCCAAACGAAGCCGAGTCAGAATTTAAAAAACAAACATTAATAAGCAATATAAAACAAGATGTTTGGAAGTTGTTACGAACTCAAACTGATCCCGAGCATTATTTGTAACTACGAGTCGAATTCAAACAAGATTGTATTCCGCTCAGATTTGGTTCATTCAAACCCTTACAAACTTCAATGCAAAAGATGCTACTCATTAGAGTACTCATTCAAAGCCAAGGATTCCGAGAACAAATCCAAGTCCAACGTCTATCCCAAGGTTTATCCAATACAAATCACGACACTAGTGAAAACAGACAGTTTTCATGATCTTGATGTATTGATCTTCAGGTTGTCCAAAAACATTGTGTTTAATCTTTCACTAAAGGGCCTACCCTTCACGAGACTCCCGCCATTGTGGGGCTTCACTCTAGAACAATAATGTACAGCATACAACAGATACATAATCTCTCCAGAACTAGCACAAGACCAAAACCACCTCGACCCTCATCATTCTGGAGCTAAATACGATGACATGAAATCGTTGAACCCATATTGCATTCGACGTGGCTTGACCTTGCGATAATTGAAACATGTTGCCCAGCCAAACTCCAGGCATTAACAAGGTAAACTTTTTTCAGGCAGAAACAGGTATCGGAATCGAGAATCAAAGGGAACAATGCCACAATTGCGGGAACTGAGGATGCTTTGCCGCCTCTTCGACATGCATTTTTCAACAAAGGCAGCTTGTTGGGATGGAAGGTAATGTGATATCCATACAGCCAACTTTTCATCATCTACAAATCCTTTGGCAAAGCTGTGTATCATTTTTGGTACCAAAAGCTTCCCTTTGCTGCTAACCCCTACTGAAGCTCGAATAAAATCACGCTGAGCTTCCTGGAGCTCGTCCTTCACATTCTTAGCTGTATAAATCCTTATCTGCAGTGTAATTTAGTTCATAGAAGTATAAACTTGCATCATAAAAAGTATTTCTAAATATAAATTGAAGTTTATATGTTACCGCAGGTGACGAGTACATTCCACAGCTTAGAGCGCAAACTACAAGCGGTTCAAAGGAATTGACAGCAAGATCTTTTTGCTCATCAGACACCTTTAGCTTGTGCAGTGCCAAAAGCAGAGCCTGACAGTACAACCATCAAAACCCAAACCAGTGTACAGAACAATGACAAAACAAAACAAAAAAAATATACTAAAACAGTTTAGTAAAAATTCAAATGTAAAGCTCATACGATTTGTGGTCTATGGACTGGTGGTTTCATCTTCAAAATTACGTATTCAATAACAGCGGCACTGAAAGAATGCCCTCCAACTGTGTATGCTGCCTGAAAGCAACGTATTAAACACAAATGCACGAGCAATCATACATTTATCAATTACAAGTATGTATTTTTTCATTTAGATTTAGTTTATGCAGTGGCTTAGGTCATGAGATGCTAACATAACAATGGCTTCTCCAACTAATTTGTCCACCATAATGAAAGGGAACCAGAACAGTTCTTCCTTTTTGTCCAGGTAAATTGTCATACAATTAATTTAGGTCGACTTTGACTCTAACCCACCTCTGATTGGGCCCCCACTACATCACCCTTCTCACCTTTAAAAATAGCAACCTCATTCTCATGCAATTTGTGGCCATGCCCTTCTTTTTCTTTTTTGAATCCAAAGTTTGGATATTTTAACTTTAGAACCCATCTATTCCTGAAAAAATGCTGGTGTGCCCAATATGTGTCCTTTCTGTGGTTCGGCATGTCAGGCACATGTCATGAGGTGCATGAAAAGTGCAAGGATATAAACAACAGCAGTGTTTTTATTGACCAGAAGAGACTCCACTAACATAATATCAGGCTCCCTTGCTTTGAACAAACAAATAAAAGTCCAATTCTCATAATGATGTAAGGCCTACAATCTCTTTAACCGTCAAGACCCAAAGAGATGATAAGAGATAAAATCCTATCAGCAACAAATCAACTTCATGATACATCTCAGGAACCCAACCAAGGTACCAAAATCCCAAGAAGAGTAGCATATGCCTACAAAGTCGAGAAAGAGTTGGCATTTAGGAGCAACCCATGCAATTGATGCCTAAATGTAGAGCTAGGGAAAACTTCCACATTACTTGTCAGGTCTTATAGATGGGTGAGACAACCCAGATAGGCAGAGGACAGTCACAATCATGTGCCTGAGTGACATTTTAACACATTGAAAGAACATGGAAAATTGAGCATCAAATGTTAGAAACCATACCTTTTGCATCAAAGAAAACAGCTTCAAGTCACTTTTTGGGACTCCATATGCCAAGTAAGCCTGTTCAAAGTTAAGAGGACAAAATATGTTAAATTCATTACTTTTTTCTTGAACACTAAATAATGGCAGACATATTGACACTTGTGTGATAGGAATAGTGATGCTAGAATAACTTGAGGTTGATTGGGGATGCATCATCCTCTCCAACTTCAATAAGATGTAGTTTTGCCCCAAATTCTACTTCTTAAGAAACCAAGTCTACCGGTTTCTGGTTTTACATTTTTCATTGGGCTTTACCACCTAGGAGTGCTTGTCAACGACTCCATCCCCCAAACCTCTTAGACAATGACTTTGTATCCTCTCACTTTTCCTTCTCTATTCCCACCATTCTTCTTTTTTTTTTTCTGTTTCTCAATAGTCCAGAGAGTACTTATATAGAGAACATACACGTTAGACAAAATAAATGAATCTAACAATGGGCAGTATTATTGACCCTCCATATTTAGAGTCATCCACTCCCCGGCGTATGAAAGCTTGCTCAAGGGGTGTTGAAAGCCCGAAGTGCAGAGTCAATAATACCGTTTGAAAGACATTCTAAGGCACAGAAGTAAATTCAAGCTGACTAACTAAAAAAGGATGTCAACAAGAAACTTATTAGGAGAAAGAAAATGAGCAACCCACATGCATTATCAGTGCATTATATAAGTTGATCCAAAAAGCCAGCTTCTCACTGCTGCTCAGGTGATTAGGATTTACTTGGGCCAGTTGCTCAACAAGTGTTCTGTCCAACAAAACAGTTTTTGATCAGTTCCAAATTCACAAAGGTCATCTTGTGAGAGACACAAACAGTTGTCTTGCAGAATATGTCAAATATTTGCTTCAATGGACAATAGGACATCCTGCACCCCCCACCCCACCTGTTTCAAAAAAAAGAACCTGTAAAAGGAGATGGAAATAGACACTAAAGATACACCACACTCATAGTTACCCATATCAAATGCCATCATCGCATTAAGTAAAAACTGTACGCTGCACAACAGTACTTAATTGAATATATTCTCCAATTAGGAAAGGAAATAACAATTTGAATTGTACTGGGAGATTGTTCTTTGGTCTGGGCACAAATTTCTGAACACAACTTGACATCTGGGTAATTTTAGCTTCAAATATTAGCACTTCTTAAATTTCTCTAGGGAACCTTCATGGCTTGGAGCAATCCTAAATTTAGGATCCATTTTCCAAGCAGGAAAACTAATCAGAAACATACACAAGTTCACTCCCTATAACAACATTCCCAAACAGCTTATACAGGCTACAGCATAAGCAAGCAGACGTAGAAAAATCCCATCCATAATTTGAAGTTAACAATGTATAATACTATTCAATTCGATTGTTATGATTATTTTCTTAGTTTGCTCGCAGCCATATGGCTTTCTCAGCTGCTGAATAAGAAATATACAATAGAGGAAGTCCTAGATAAAACCTTACCTGAACTTACGTAGTGCCCCTGCAGCGTATTCTAGTTGCTTCTTCCCAACTGACATCCAAGAAACCTCAGTTGCTGATCCATAGCTTCCAATATCTGTCCAACTTAATTTACCACGTACTCTATAGGGATCAACAGTGTCCTCTGCAGCTAACACCTCAGTATCACACTGTAAATCAATTTGTGGACTCTGCACACATGATGAAATCGTTGAGCGCTCAGATATTGACCCTGTAGACATATTGGAAAGATGTCCACGCGGAGACAAGGATGAACTGTGGCTCCCCGATGTAGATGATTTGGATGGTATAGTAGAATCCGCCAAAGAGATGAAGATATTTTTCATGCAGCGGACCATCTCTTCTGATAGTTTACAAGGGTGATCCCAGAGACCTCTAGGTTGCACCTCTCTCGTAAACCGTCCAGAATGTACAGGTTTACAATAGCTGGCATCCAACTTCACTAATACTTTTTTCTCTTGAAGAAACACAGCCGTCTCAACTGCTTCCTGATTTAGAATACAAATTATTCAATGCCTACAATAAAAAATACTGCATTTCTGCAAAAGATCTGATAATGGGAATAATTGCAAAACATACTTTATTTGTGTAAGCCTTAAAAAGATATTAGACATGATAATGAACATCAATGTAGCACTTCTATGTTAATTGTTAGACTTAGCAAATTTAGTCCCTCAGGGCTTGTCCTTCTAAATTTCTAATTGCTTCAACCTGCCACTGAACAATGATTGATTTAAAGGAAAAAGGTGTGGGGCATGATTGGTGATTTGAAAGGATTATAGTGATGAACAGTATTAATTGTTGTTGTTGTACCAAAGATGATGATCAACTTGCCACTGTCTCTTTAAGATGTGGGTTGCATTGAAACAAATTAGATTGCATTAGTGGTGAGATTATGTAGTCAAGAAGAAACGGATATATGTCATGTAGACATTATCAAGGTGCAGTATGCTGCGTTTACAGACCCAGTGGCCACTTAGTGTGGGGAAAGAGTACACACCTTAGTGTGGACAAAGAGTACATACCGGTGCCTTCGTAATGTCAGGGCAACTGCCCAGTGACTGGCATTTTGAACGTCTCCAGTGATATTCTGCAAGTCTCCGTTCATTTCTTTCCTGACTAAGTTGGAAATGCAATGAGATCAACTCCTCTTCAAGCTTTGACACACTGGACTCCAACATTTCAATATTGGACAAAAGCTCTTGAGCCTGTAGAATGATGAGAATTAGTTCAACTTTCAAAAAAAAAAGTGAAAATATAGGCTGCACAATTGAAAAAAATCTAATTGGGAGAAAATAAACAAAGGTAAAGTCTTAAGGCCCAGAAAAATCCAGAAATCTATGGCAGGTTTGAAAAGGGAATATGCAGCACATGCATGGAAAAATTGACCAAAATTCACTTCCTTCAACTTACTCCAACTCTAAGAGCAATAAATAACAGCATGATTATAAGTCAAGCTTGTTATGTTTTGAGTTTATAACTCTTGAGCTCTTTGCTTTCTTTTATTTTACTTTCAACGACTGACCACTCATACGAAAATATCTGTAATAGCTATCCAAAGAGCCGATTACAAAATGGAGTACAAAGCAAACAGCCAGAACTTTCAAGTCAGTGATCTGGTCCTTATATAAGTGATCCAAGTAACAAGGGACCCTGGGGTAGGTAAGTTATTCCACACTAGGAAGGGCCTCACAGAGT